GCAGGGCCTGGACCCGTAAGACCTCAGGCAGGACATGTTTCACCAGAGGTTTCACAAGGTGTACCCCAGGCCATTTTGGCGCAAAAGTTGTTCTTCCCGTTAGCTGAAGACGGGGATGCCGGGGCGGATGTCTCAGAAGATCTCTCCGCACCTATTCTCAAAACTCCGGCGTAACCGATTCAGAAAAACATAGATGAACACACCTTGCCACGCATCTTCCTTGCAGAGGCTGGTGTCGGCACTGCGTCCGGGGTACAGGAACAAGTTTGTTTCGCAGAGTCCGTGATTTTGAAAAGGGTCACGAAATCCCCACTGTTTCGATGGATTTTTTTGAATGCCAGACGACAGAAGTATAATGCCAAACATTGCTTTACGGTGTCATGGAGCCAGAGCTACTTTTTCGCACACTGTTCCGTGCAAGGGCGTAACGCATCCGTATCCAGTCAAGCAAGTTGTGCGCGATCTCGATTCGCCAGGATGCAAAAAAACGATTTTGAAATGTGGCCAGGAAACTTCAATTCTGGCTCTTCGCCGCGAGGTCAAGGCAGCAGCAAACCTCGATGTAGTGATCCCAGAAGAAAGTCCAGTCGGAGAGCACCAGTCCAATGGAGTAGTAGAACATGCAGTGCAAGAGTGTGAAGGCCAAATTCGCGTTTTAAAAAGTCAATTGCAATGCTGAGCTAGACGACGGGCATCCTATCTTACCGTGGCTAATCAACCACGCGGGTTTCTTAATCATTCGTTTTCAGGTAGGGCGCGATGGCCGCACAGCGTATCAAGCATTGCAGGGGGAGCCTTTCAGGAGAGAACTGATTCCGTTTGGCGAGTGCGTCCATCACAAGCCAGCAAAGTTGAAAACCAACAAACTGGCGAAACTCGCGTGTCGATGGGAAGACGGCATTTTCCTCGGCATCAGAGAATCCCGCAACGAGGCTTACATTTGGAACCACAGCAGGGGTCGTAACAGCGAGGTCAATCATGAGGGAACCTCCTTCTGAACAGTGGAACGCTGATAATTTTAAATATTCCCGAGGTCTTCCGTGGAAGCCAGTGCCACAAGGTGAAGTAGACCAAAATTTCATGCCGAGAGCTGTTGTCGTCGCGCCGGTTCAGGAGCATGATTTGCCTCCACCGGCCCGGTCGCAAGAGGAAACGTCTGTAGTGCATCGTAGTGTGTACATATCACAAAAAGACATTGCCAACTACGGGTGCATTGCAACGTGCCCCGGTTGCAGTGCCCAAAAGTTGGGTCTGCCCCCAGTTTCCCATGATGGGGCTTGTCGTGAAAGGATCACCAAATAATTAGAGAAAACGAACGAGGGACGAGAAAGGATTCTGAAATCAGCAATGCGGCAGTGGAAGCAAGATGACACCAACGCCAAAAGGCAAAAGACGGTTCAACCAGATGCATGGCAGAGAGGTAAACGACTTCTGGGAGAAGAAACCCAACTCGCATCCAAAGCGACTGAACTAAATCCCGCAGAGAAGCGACAAAGCGATGTACTTGAAGACGCAATGGAAAGAGGTGGATCTTCTTCGTCCGGCTTTGCGCAGCAACCGGCTAACCAAGAGCCCAATGACGTACAGATGCCCGAACCGGGAATTCTGGCAATCGGCGTATTGTCAAACGCATCCAAAGGAGATTTGTGTAGTCTTGCGCAATGTTACCGCAATTTTGGATTAGCCTCTCCAGCTAAGCCCCAAAAGGTTTTCTACGCTCCGCGTGTTTCCGCACTGTCAGGCAATTTTGGTTTGAATCCGGGTTTGGTTTCAGATTTCAGCGTACATGTAAATCATAAGAACGAAACGGCATATTTCAACCGTGCAGCGTATTTGAGGACATCACGTGGGATCGCGCGGCAAACGGAACCGTTGTTGTTAATATCATCATCGGCCAGCAATTTCCGAAACCAGACCCGGCATGCCAAATATGTTTCTTCTGGTGTCGGTTGCTCAGAGAGCAGAGCAACAGCGGAGTATATTTCTTCGGTGTGCAACCGGAGGCAGCCGCTGTGCAGAGGCATCCGGCACTGCAGTCTTTGCTTCAATGTGAAGCGTCATGCAAGATTTCAAACAGTCGTTTTGGCAAATGGTTTTTATTTGGTGACAAGCAGCCCGTATGTTGCATCGGAATTGAAAGCAGAATTGTCCAAGTCGAGTGTGTTCACATCAGTCTTTTCCCAACTTTTGGGGCTAGATGGTATGCACATCTCGTCATTTCTGCCACCGAAGGTACGTGCAGCTGTTTTGAGAGGATTCCCTGAGCAGTTGAAGGCAGACGGGAAAGCCTGTCCGTTCTCAGTTGGCACAGTCTGTTGTGAAGAGCCCAGTTTTGATTCCGACGAGTGGTCTTGTGAACAGGAAGTTTTTGATGACAACACAGGTGTTGAATTGCCAGAGCAACTAGTGAAATAAACAATGGCGAAAGAAAGTGGCGAATATAAGAAACATGATGTCTACGTCAAAGTCCCCAGATCAGAAGCATTTGAAGTCACAGGTAAGCCACCCCATCTCAACGCGATGGGTGCTAGTAAACAAAGGAGACGAGACGAATCAAGAAATCAGATTACGATTGGTAGCTAGGGAGGTGAAGAGAGACAAACGCACAGTTTTGTTCGCAGCCACACCCCTGCTTGAGGCGAAACAGTTTTTGTTCATTCAGGTGGCAACCCACAGGGTCCACAAACCAGGCAAACCTTTCAATATTCGTTTTATCGATGCTGTTCGTGCGTATTTCCACGCAGATGCCATCCAGGACGTGTGCATTGAATTCCCAGAGCAAGATTCCGAACCCGGGATGGTCGGCAAATTGGCTCGTTGTTTGTACTGGGCCAGCGACGCAGCTCCAGGTTGGGAGCAGTTCTACACTAGAGTGTTGACCCGAGCCGGATTCATTCAAGGTCGTTCTAGTCCTTGCATTTTCTACGAACCTACAGAGGACGTAAGATTAGTTGTGCATGGTGATGATTCCGCAGCATTTTCAGACGATGTTGGCCTTCAGTGGCTTACAGGGGTGTTGAAAGCATCGGTGGCCCTCAAGGTCAAGGCAACGCTTGGACCTGAGGACGGCGATGACAACAGCGTCCGTATTCTTAACAGAATTGTGTCTTGGATGGGCGACGGTATTGAATACGAATGTGACCAAAGGCGCGTTGAGCTAGTAATCAGAGACAGTGGCGTCCAGGAAGAGCGATCGAAGACGTGCTCCACTCCTGGTGTCAAAGAGTCCATAGATTCTGATACTGACTTTAAACCACTTTCTCCAGACATGATCAAGCTATTCAGATCTTTGTGCGTGAGAATCAATTACGTGGCGCAAGACAGAAGCGACATTCAGTACGCAGCCGAAGAGCTTGCGAGAGGAATGCAACAACCAACGCTCGGTCATTGGAACAAAAAGGAAAGATTTGCGCGTTATTTGAAAGGCCGGCCGATGATCGTTTTACAGTGCCCGTTTCAAGAAGCATGTTGGGTTTTAATATGTAGTTGTTGACACAGACCATGCAGGATGTTTAAGAACACGCCAGAGCACGAACGGAGGAGCATTGATGGTTGGTTTGCGCGCAATTTAATTTTGGAGCAGCACACAACTGTAATTGCATCAAGCTCCAGGGAAGCAGAATTTTACGGAATAGTAGAAGGTGCAATTGTGTTGTTAGGAGCCTTATCATTAGCATCTGACTTCGGTATTGTTTTGAAAGGGCGTCTGCGCACTGACAGCTCAGCAGCGAAAAGGATCTCATCCAGGCCAGGGTTGGGTAAAGTGAAACACTTTCACACCCATTATTTGTGGGTTCGAAAGAGACTCGCAAACAACGAATTCGTCATCCGAAAGATCGGCACCGACGACAACCCAGGCGATTTCATGACAAAGTATTTGGACATACCGAAGCTAGACCGATTCGGTAAAAAAAAAAGACTCGGCTACACCACACGTGAAGGAAGACACGAGCTAGCATTACAATTTGCGAATCAAAATTTTGATTTGAATTCCTTGAAGGAACAGGAACGGCTTGAGCCTGGCTCTGCGCAAACAGCCAGAACCAAGAGCAACGCGATGTTATTTGACATCAGTGGCAATGCGCTCAAGAAAGCGTAACCGCAGCATCCGTGAATAAAACCACGTAGACCAACACCGTGTGCGAGGAACTGCTCGCCCGAGGTGTAGGATGAGGGTGGGGAAATGTATTCACCTTGTGTATCGTAGCAGAACTGTGCGCGATTCCGCAGCCATTTCAGATTTCAAGAAAAGGCATCAATCTCATATTATCATGTCAAGGATGTGGAGGAGGAGGAAGAGGACGAGGAGGTAGAGGAGGAGTCGGCAGGCTGACGATGATCATGATGCTGCTGATGAGAATGATGATGACGATGATGGTGATGATGGTGATGATGATCACGATGATGCCGATGATGACGATGATGATGATGCTGTTGATGATGCTGATGATGATGCTGCTGGTGGGAATGATGATGCTGCTGGTGATGATGATGATGATGACGATGATGATGATGGTGATGATGATGATGACGAGGAGGAGGAGGAGGAGGAGGAGGAGGAGGAGGAGGAGGAGGAGGAGGAGGAGGAACAGTAGGAGGAGCAGGACGTGGAGGAGGAGGAGGCGAAGGTGGAGGAGGAAGAGGAGGAGGAGGAGCAGGAGGAGGAGGAGGAGGAGGAGTGTTCGGGAGGACAAGGAGGAAGCGGAAGAGGTGAAGGAGGAAACGGAGGAGGTGGAAAAGGAATTGGAGTTGGAGTTGGAGAGGAGGAGGAGGAGGAGGAGGAGGAGGAGGAGGAGGAGGAGGAGGGAGGGAGGAGGAGGAGGAGGAGGAGGAGGAGGAGGGAGGAGGAGGAGGAGGAGGAGGAGGAGGAGGAGGAGGAAGAGGAGGAGGAGGAGGATGGAACAGCGAAGAAAACGCGGGGCAGCCAGGCGGGAGCAAGGCTCCGAGGTCGTCGCTGCCGCGGCTGGCTCGCCGCCCGGCGGCCGGCCGGAGCCGCAAAGGTGCTCGAGATTAGGACCGCGCACCCCACGCTGGACATCCAGGCGGGACCGCGCCCCCGTGCTTCTTCTGTTGGGCGACGAGATCTATACATGAGGCGTTCCAGAAGGGGCCTTGCCTTCGAGGGTCGAAGGAGTTGCCACTTCTTCCGCGGCGGAAGGGCGGCGGAAGTTCGGCGGAAGTAAAACGAGGCCGCCTCCGCTGGCGGAAGCCGGCGGAAGCAGAAGTCGACCTCCCAAGAGATGACAATATTTCTGGGTTCAGGTCCGTAGCCATTTGAGCCCGGTCTACCTGCAGAAAGGAAGAACCAATTCCGACACTTATAACCTGCTGTTGTGACTCTTGGTACGGTCCATCCACCAGGAAGCAATGGGCTGCAATACTTCATCTCCCGTTGCCCAAGAGTACGAGAAGAGTGAGGCCACTGATTCCGCCACTTTTGTCCAACCGCCACGCGTTCCACCACCCGATCTGACCACAGTCCAAAGTAAAGCAATCTGCGATTGGCTCGACAAACTCCCACAGACCGATCCCACAAGTGATCAGTGGGAAGTTACTGTGGGGACTGTGAGCACAGATTCTGAAACTGGTAATTTTCAGACTACGATCAAGGTCTCGACGAAATTTGGGACCGTATATCCTCTGCTCGATTCTGGCTGTCAAACCATGACTTTACCAGGCGCCTCTTTGGTGGGAGCTTCTTGGAAAGCGGACGGAAGTTGGGACGTGAAGGAGCCTTACAGAGTGTGCCACAATCACTTGGTCTACGGCCCATGGAACACGATCGCTCTTCTGGTAGAAGGTCCGATCACAATTGGCAATGGAGAGATTTGGATGCAATTCTTCGTGGACGTGTTCCCCGGAAGTGGTGGTGCCTTGCCATTGGGCGGCAATTTCGGTATAAGCAATAGTCCTGTGATCGCCACAGTTCCTTTGGTTCAGTTTGTGGGCCCTTTCGAAGACCAGGTGCACAATCCAACTGGATTTGAGGCCATCTCTGTGCATGAGGCGTTGAGGAATACTACATACAATCCAACGTGGCCGCCACCGTGGCCACTACCTACTGGTATCTCTTGGCAGGGAAGTGTGAACAAAACAGATCGTGAAGATTCACAGAAATTCAGCTATTCAGAACAAGAGCCTCCTCAAGTATTGCATTCGCCCGCAGATCGCGCGTTGGAACCAAAAGAAGGCTTCACGACGTTCCAAGTTGTAAAACTGGATTCCACCGTAAACGACATGTTGGTTCGACCATTAAAGTGCTTCTCAAACGCAGGCTGGAAGTATGTGGAGATCTCGCTTGCTGCGGATGACGAAACTGTTGACAATTATGACCAGGCTGCACATATGCGGTTGCACCAGGCGCGGTCGAAAATAGTCTTCCGCAAAGCAGGCGCCATAATGAACGAGTACGACGCAGTTCTGCGTCTACAGAAGAAGTGGATCATGTCGACAGCTTTGAAGAGTCTAGCGTTTCACGACGCTCAGTACAACAACCAGCAATCGTTTGTTGTGACTTGGCCCGATAATAATGAGGACACCACGGCCATGCTTGACACAGGAGGTGGGCCTCTCATCTACGGAGCCCAGAAAGACATCGATAAGTGGGATGGGTTGAGCAGCAATTGCCCACCAATATATTGGTGGAGGAATACCGAGGACAAGCACACGCTAAGCACTTCCCCCGAGACGGTGCGCTTTCTGTTTGGGGATTTCGAAGTGACTCTCGCAGATGCGCAAGATCGTTCCAAGGAGTTCACATATACAATCAAGGGACGGAAACCTCAATTTTCTGGGTGTCTTGGCATCGGTGGGAAACAAATGAGTTACGTGAACGGTGACGACTCAGGCATAGACGGAATCAATATTGGAGGCATATCTTTTCTTTTCATTGACATGGTGATCGACATCGATAATAATTGCGCGGGCTTCCGGAAGAAGAGCTAGGATCTCGTTTTCAGCAGCGTGCTGGGAAACCTATTCCCGTCTTACTGCTCGGCTGCAGGACGGTCAATTAGCTAGGGAGTGCGTATCGCAGCTTCTGAGCGAGATCAGGTTTTGAATCCCCACATGCTTAGTGGGGTTCTGGTTTTCTTCCTTCCCGCGTCGCACCCGCGTCTCCTCACCCCTCCTCCTCCTTCTCTTTCTATTCACATAGCACAGCACAGCGCAGCGCAGCGCAGCACAGCACAGCACAGCTCAGCACAGCACAACACAGCACAACACAGTTCTGGTTTTCATCCCTGCCGCGTCGCGCCCGGGTCTCCCGCACACTCACACACACACACACCTGCCCCTCTTTCTCCTTCTCACACAGCACAGCGCAGCACAGCGCAGCGCAGCACAGCACATCACAGCACAGCGCAGCACAGCTCAGCACAGCACAGCACAGCCCACAGCACATTGACACACAGCACCATATGGTGTGCGCAGGGGGTGGTCTCTCACCGCGGCCGCTATCCGTGACGGTCGTCCAGGGCACAGCAGGCATGGCATATTCTCGACACCATCGGGGGTGCGCAGGGGGTGGTCTTTCACCGCGGCCGCTATCCGTGACGGTCGTCCAGGGCACAGCAGGCATGGCATATTCTCGACACCATAAGGGGGTGCGCAGGGGTGGTCTCTCACCGCGGCCGCTATCCGTGACGGTCGTCCATGGCACAGCAGGCATGGCAGATTCTCGACACCGTAGGGGGTGCGCAGGGGGTGGTCTCTCACCGCGGCCGCTATCCGTGACGGTCGTCCAGGGCACAGCAGGCCTGGCATATTTTCGACACCATCGGCTGTGCGCAGAGGGTGGTCTCTCACCGCGGCCGCTATCCGTGACGGTCGTCCAGGGCACAGCAGGCATGGCATATTCTCGACACCATAAGGGGGTGCGCAGGGGGTGGTCTCTCACAGCGGCCGCTATCCGTGACGATCGTCCAGGGCACAGCAGGCATGGCATATTCTCGACACCATATGGGGTGCGCAGGGGGTGGTCTCTCACCGCTGTCGCTACACGTGACGGTCGTCCATGGTACAGCAGGCATTGTATATTTTCGACACCATAGGGTGTGCGCAGGGGTGGTCTTTCACCGCGGCCGCTATCCGTGACGGTCGTCCAGGGCACAGCAGGCATGGGATATTCCCGACGCCACAGAGGGTGCGCAGGGGGTGGTCTCTCACCGCGGCCGCTATCCATGACGGTCGTCCAGGGCACACTAGGCATGGCATATTCTCGACACCATAGGGTGTGCGCAGGGGGTGGTCTCTCACCGCGGCCACTATTCGTGACGGTCGTGCATGGCACAGCGGGCATGGCATATTTTCGACACCATCGGCTGTACGCAGGGGGTGGTCTCTCACCGCGGCCACTATCCGTGACGGTCGTGCATGGCACAGCAAGCATGCCACATTCTCCTCACCATCCTGGGTGCGCAGGGGGTGGTCTCTCACCGCGGCCGCTATCCGTGACGGTCGTCCAGGGCACAGCAAGCATGCCACATTCTCCTCACCATCCTGGGTGCGCAGGGGGTGGTCTTTCACCGCGGCCGCTATCCGTGACGGTCGTCCAGGGCACAGCAGGCATGGCATATTCTCGACACCATCGGCTGTGCGCAGGGGGTGGTCTTTCACCGCGGCCGCTATCCGTGACGGTCTTCCAGGGCACAGCAGGCATGGCATATTCTCGACACTCTCGACACCATAGGGTGTGCGCAGGGGTGGTCTTTCACCGCGGCCGCTATCCGTGACGGTCGTCCAGGGCACACTAGGCATGGCATATTCTCGACGCCATAGAGGGTGCGTAGGGGGTGGTCTCTCACCGCGGCCGCTATCCGTGACGGTCGTGCATGGCACACTAGGCATGGCACATTCTTGACACCATAGGGTGTGCGCAGGGGGTGGTCTCTCACCGCGGCCACTATTCGTGACGGTCGTGCATGGCACAGCAGGCATGGCACATTCTCGACACCAAAGGGGTGCGCAGGGGGTGGTCTCTCACCGCGGCCAATATCCGTGACGGTCGTCCAGGGCACACTAGGCATGGCACATTCTCGACACCACAGGGGGTGCGCAGGGGGTGGTCTTTCACCGCGGCCGCTATCCGTGACGGTCGTCCATGGTACAGCAGGCACGGCATATTCTCGACACCGTAGGGAGTGCGCAGGGGGTGGTCTCTCACCGCGGCCGCTATCCGTGACGGTCGTCCATGGTACAGCAGGCATGGCATATACTCGACACCGTAGGGGTTGCGCAGGGGGTAGTCTCTCACCACGGCCGCTATCCGTGACGGTCGTCCAGGGCACAGCGGTATTGGTGGGGCAACGGCCACCAACATCATTCTCACATGCTTCACTTCAGCTATCATCACTCCAGACATAATGTAAGAATGTGGGGTTCCTCGGTAACGTATTTTTTTTGCGAGAGGCTGGAAGCCACGGATGGATCCAACTGCGGGTCGTTTGACTAGATCTTCGCGCTATCCTTCGACACCGATGTCGGGTCTACAACAATCGGGGCGCACGTCGCCCGGGGTAGCCAAGTGGCACCTGGTTGATTTTCTGGCTCGTTTTGAAGCCATGGCAAAACCATTAGAGGTCTTGGGAGAGGTGGGGGGTTTGCGGGAAAGGGGCTTTGCAAATGCGCGCAGCATTTTGCGCGCAGCCCTTTCCACATTGAAAAAGTCCGTCACGAGCCGCTTGTTCGGAAGCGCGCAAAGTGTGTCCATGCTCTTACAAAGTGTACACCGGCCCGTCAATTGCAAAACATACTGCTTGGTGACCAACATCCTGCTCAACGCACGCTTCACACGGTTCGTAGTCCCATGGGGAGCTCCACCGGAGGCCCCAGTGGCAGGGTCCACATGGCGGCGCCGCACCATTTTGCGCACCCCTCACGCGGTTCGTGGCACCATAGGGAGCTCCACCGAAGGCCCCAGTGGCAGGGCCCGCATGGCGGCGCCGCCCCATTTTGGCGCACCCCTCACACGGTTCGTGGCCTTGTAGGGAGCTCCACCGAAGGTCCCAGTGGCAGGGCCCGATGGCGGCGTCTCCCCGTTTTGGCGCACCACTCGCACGCTTCGTGGCCCCATAGGGAGCTCCACCGAAGGCCCCAGCGGCAGGGCCCGCATGGCGGCGCCGCCCCATTTTTGGCGCACCCCTCGCACAGCTTTGGCCCCACAGAGCGTTCCGTGTAAGTCCCCACTGGCGGGGTCCGCATGGCGGCGCCGCCCCATGTTGGCACACCACTCGCACGGTTCGTGGCCCCACAGGGAGTCCACCGAAGGCCCTAGTGGCAGGGTCCACATGGGCCACCGTGGGCCCCCCTCCTCCGTCTCATGTCCTTCGCGGTGTTCGCGGCTGTATGTGGTTGGGTCCTTCGTCAGGCTAATCCGTAAGGGCTTCGCCCCCTGCCGCCGGCCCCCTGCCTCGGATCATGGGAGACGCAAGAGCTAAATCACGAGGTCTGGGCGCCGCCGTGAAGCAGTGTCGGGACCTGTGTGTTTTTCGGCCCTGACCCTACGGATCTGCGTCACGGGTGCCACCAGGCAGGCAGGCAGGCAGGCCGATCGAGTCAATGCTCGACCCAGAATCGGGCGCGACTGTGACGAACCTCAAGCCTCACTCTTGGAGCCCGAGGGAAAAACGCACAAAGTCCTCTTCGTGCTCGTGAGAAGAGTTGTCCGCACTCACTTCATACCATTCGCTTTCATAAGATTCCCTTGCAAACTTGCGCAGATAGCAGATAGTCGTCCCATCTCACAGCGGGTCGTCCGCGTGATCGTCCAGCCTCAGGACACGTTGCAGGTGGGTGCCAACGCGATACTCTTGCAGGCCAGCTGTCCGACATCGTGCCAATACGATGAGCCAGCCTGTATTGCCATCGTAGCAGCTGGACGCTCCAGTCTTCCATTGAGTAAGTTGTTAAGAGCAGCATTCACTTTCAGCCTCATCCTCCGCATTGTTTCGTCCCACGGCTCACCTTCCATACGAACCCACCCAACGATTTTTCGGAGCATCCTCCGCTAAGCACATCTAATGAGCTCGTTTGTGTCCGCATCATTGCACAAGACGAGAGGCCGAACAATATCGTTGGAGTGATTACTGTGTCGAAGTACTTGATCTGGGAGTATATGCTCAACTGCTTGTCCATTAGAACGTCACGATGCTGATGAAATATCATCCATGCTTTTGAATCCGGTGGCCAAACTCAAGAAGACTCCTCGAACGGAGGTTGCCGCACAGCTTCCTTCCCAAATATTTGTGGGCCATGTCGCCGTTTAGGACGTCCACGGGCTCGCCCCCGATGTCCAACGAACCCAGATTGATGTCGCATGCTGTCGCACGGGTGCCACCGAATTTCAGAAATGTAGCAAATCCCTCGTGATTTTGGACCCTGATCCTGCCGATCTGCGTGAGGGGTGCCAGCAAATTTCAGAAATGTGGCAAATCCCCTGTGTTTTTGGACCCTGACCCCGCCGATCTGCGTGATGGGTGTCAATTTTTATGCACCCCAGCAATTCAGACAACACGCTCAGGACGTGGTAAAAATGCCCGTTTTGGGCCTCCCCCCCTCGCGCGGTCCATCAACAAGGAACAGTAAGCAGCAAGAAGTCAACAAGGAACAGTAAGCAGCAAGAAGCAGAACTGTAACAGTGGAAAGTGGAAGCTGCAACTGGTACAGGAAACTGCAGACCTTAGGCCTACAGGCTGGTGGCCCCACAAGGGGGCCGGCGGATTTTTTTATACGAAGTGCGCTGCTCCGGGCAATGGCGCAGGATAGCGTAGACTCCGTGGCAATTCTCGTAGATTGCGGACACAAGAAAAACATGTTTGGGTTCAAGGTGTCCGGAATCCGCCGTGTGTCCACCGCCCCTGGCCAGGCCCATCCTGCGCACAGGGGCGGTGTACATGCTTCTCTGGCCACGCCATGAGGGCGTATACACCGCTCCTGAGTCCATGATGGGCCTGGCTAGGGGCAGTGGATACATATATATATATATATATATATATATATATATATATATCACGGGGGAGCAGGCCCGGGGCCCGAAAACAGCTGCCTCGACCCTCCATGGGAGGACCGGGGCTCATTTTCCCTGTGTTTTTACAAGGTTTCCGCGTCCTGGGCTTCGGAGGCCGCCGCCTCCGACCCCCCATGGGAGGACCGGGCGGCCAGGGAGGTCCAAAATAGTCCAGGAGGGCCTCCAAAGGCTCCCCAGACGGCCCAAGCGGGCCCCGAGTCGCCGAAAGACCGCTCCAGGACGCCCAAGACAGGCCCAAGACGGCCCGAGAGGCCCCCCAAGGCACTCCACGACGCTTCAAGACGCCTCTCCAGAGCGCTTCAAGAGGCCGAAATCGTCAATGTTACGAAGGTTTTCAAGGCTTGCAAGGCGCTGCCGCCTGCGCGGCGCTTCATCGCACGAAGTGCAGGGTCTCCCGTGCGCCGTTGCCACGGGCATGCGGCGGGGATTCAGCCTACACGGAACGCTGTTTAAGATTTCGTGCGTCTCCATAGGAGCAGGCGGGAGATAGCGCCACTGGCCGCATTGCCTCCCCGCCACCACTTGGTCACCGAGGGCCCGTATGTTTTTTTCTTTGCGATGTGGTGGATCAGCATCTACTCGCCAGTCGCCCACGCTGCTGAGCGACTGCCTGGGTCAAGTGACCTGGGCCTCTAGCCGTACCCGAATGACGGCTCTAGCTAATTTCCAGGGCTCCCGCCATCCCCGTACGGGGGTCCCTATCGGCGGGCACGGACCGCGAGGGCCCTGATATCCATATAGTACCTATACGACCACCCTTCGGGTGATAAGGAGGTTCGGGGGGGGGAGGAACCAACGTCTCACTCGATCGGTCTCACTATCGATCTCACTATCGATCTCAGTATCGGTCTCGCTCGATCGATCTCCTTCGATCGATCTCACAATCGATATCACTCGATCTATCTCAGTCTCACAATTGATCTGACTGTCGATCTCACAATCGATCTCACAATCGATCTCACAATCGATCTCACATTCGGTCTCACTATCGATCTCACTATCGATATCACAACCGCTATCACAATCAACGTCGTCATCATCATCAACAACAACATCAACATCAACATCATCATCACCAACATCATCATAATCGGGACACCGTCCTCATCATCAACACCAACATCATAATCATCACGGTCACCAACATCATCGGGATACCACCATCATCATCATCATCATCACCATCATCACAATCATCATCATCAACATCATCATCATCAGCAGCATCGGGACACAGTCATCGTCATCATCATCATCAGCAGCAGCATCATCGGGACACCATCATGATCACCATCGTTATCATCATCATCATCGGGACACCATCATCATCATCATCATCTCATCCTCATCATCGACATCATCATCAGCATCATCAACATCATCATCAGCATCATCATCATTGTCATCATCGGGGCACCATCATCACCATTACCAACATCAGCATCAACATTATCATCATCATCACCATCGGGACGCCATCATCATCAACATCATCATCATCACCATCATAATAATCATCATCATCGGGACGCCATAATCATCATCAACCTCATCATCATCAACATCATCATCATCATCATCGGGACACAATCATAATCAGCATCATCAACATCAACATCATCATACTCATCATCATCGGGACACCATCATCGTCATCATCATGATCATCAACATAATCATCATGATCATCATCATCCTCATCATCGGGACACCATCAGCATCATCATCATCGTCATCATCATCATCAACATCCTCATCATCACCATCATAATAATCATCATCGGGACACCATCATCATCATCGTCCTCATCATCATCATCAGCATCACCATCATCATCATCATCATCGTCATCATCATCATCAGCATCATCATCATCACCATCATCATCATCATCATCATCATCATCATCATCATCATCATCATCATCATCATCATCATCATCATCATCATCATCATCATCATCATCGCGGGACACCGCGGGACACCGGCGGGACACCGCGGGGCACCGCGGGGCACCGCGGGACACCGCGGGACACGGGCGGGACACGGGCGGGACACCGCGCGCCACCGGCCGCCCGGAAGAGACACATTTGGTCCGGCCGCGCCTCAGCCACAGGAGACTTTCCTCTCGCCCGCCCACGCAGCTTCGCCTCGCCCGCGCGCACGGCACGCACGAACACGAAACCGAAATCGATTTCCCGGTAGGGGGGCTCTCCGTTCCACTTCGATCTCACACCCTCACCTCCGATAGTTCGTGGCTCTCTTGGGGGCTTGGCCTAGCCGTGCCCCTCAACGGAGTCATCAGTCTGTCCGATCCTCAAAAAAATGTTTCGAAGGTTTTCGAACGATTTTGGCCTTCCAGCTTTTCCGGCTGTCTGACATTCCAAGACGGCTCAATAGGCCCCCAAGAGCGCCCCAAGGCGGCCCAAGAGGGCCCCAAGACGGCCCCAGAGTCGCCCAAGACAGCCCAACAAAGCCCCAAGACGGCCCCAAGATGCGCCCAAGAGGGGGACCACGACTCCAAAGTTCGACCCTCCCGCTTGAAGAGTGCCCCAGGAGGACCCAAGGAGCCCCCAAGAGACCCCAGGAGGCCCCCAAGAGGCACCCAGGATGCCCAAACGATGCCTAAAGAGGCCACAAACACAGCCCCGAGGAGGCCCCACAACGGTCCCAAAACGGCTACCGAGAAGCTGCGAAACTGCCTTCACGACGTCCCCGACAGGCCAACCACGAGATCCAAACCAACACCTATGAGGCCTCTGACCCATCACCCAGGGCACGGTGGCGGGGGCAGTGACAGCACTTGTGCACAGCATGTTCCGGCGGGAGCCTTCCGGAACACGCTGCAGGAGGAGGAGGAGGAGGAGGAGGAAGATCAGGAGGAGAGAGAGCTGGAGTGGGAGGAGGAGGAGGGGGACAAGGAGGAGGAAGAGGCCGTCAAGGTAGCTCCAAGATAGCCGAAGAGGCTTCCAAGAGAGCCCTGGGCGGCCCACGAGAGCCCCAAGGCGGTGCCTGAGGCGCCCAAGACGGCCCGAGAGGGCCCCAAGACGGCTCCAAGGGAGGCCCAAGAAAGGAAGCATGAACCGAGAATCCGAGCTTTCTAATCCCGAGAGGTTCTCGGGAAGTCCCAAGAGGCCCCCAATCGGATCCAAGAGGCCCCCAAGAAGCTCCCAAGAGGGCCGACGAGGTTCCAAGATATCTCCCAAGGTGGCCCCAAGAGGCACAACTCATTCTTTTACGATTGGGTTTTAACGGGTTTTAATTTTTTTCGGCCTCTTGCCATCCCGATGCTCCAAGACGGCCCAGGAGGCTTCCAATATCGCTCCAATATAGAGGAAGAGGTCTCCCAGAGGGCCCCAAGACGGCCCGCGAGGACCCCAAGACGGTGCTTGATGCGCCCAAGACGGCCCGAGAGGGCCCCAAGAGCCCCTAGAGAGGCCCAAGAAGGGGAACGCGACCCGACAGCAGAGCGTTCCCCCCATAAGATCCACAGGAGGCCGCAAGAGGCCCCCAAGTGGTCCGACGAGGACCCCAATAGCTTCCCGAGGGCCTAAAAGGCCCCTAGGAGACGTCCAAGAGGTTTTAAAATAGCCCAAGAGTGCCCTCGATGCGTCAAAACTGCTTCCAGGAGGCCCCTGGGAGGCTTCCGGATTGCCTCAATCTGGCCGCAGGTGGCCTCAAGTCGGGCCTCCACGCAGCCAAGATGGCCAATGACGGCTTCAGATTGCAGAACCGATGCCCCCAAGGGACCCTCAGAAGCCCCCCCCAAGAAGCACCCAAGAGGTGCCTCCAATAGCCAGTTGACGAAGCATGCGGAACACCCCAGAAGCTCCTCAGATGCCGTCGCGCGCCTGTGCTTGATAGCGTTGTCCAAGATCGTCCAGCGCCCCCCCGGCCTGGGCTAGAACCTGAGCGCGCGCGAAGCGCGCGCGATGGTTCCAGACCAGGGGCCCGAAAACAGCTGCCCGACCCTCCATGGGAGTACCGGGGCTCATTTTCCATGTGTTTTTACTGGGTTTCGGCGTCCCGGGCCTCGGAGGCCGCCGCGATGGTCCCGGGACATTTTCCAGATCCTCGGCGCGGGCTCCAAGACCATTCCGTAGAGGGCTCCAACAGGCTCCAGGGCAGCCCAAGAGGGCTCCAAGACGGCTCCAGGAACGACTTCAGGGTCTCATTTTTCTGGTGTTTTTTGCAAGACGGCTCTAGGAAGACTGCATGTCTTATGAGGATGGCTTCCGCCTCTTGCCCCGAGCATCCCAAACTGCCTGAACGGTTCCCACTCGCCTTCCCCAAACCCAGCGCTTGCCCATGCGCGTTCCAGACGGTCTTCGCCGGAACGCGCTGGAATGATCACGCGCTGCGGTTTCCCATGCCAACATCCTCGGACGTGGGCGCCCTGCCACGAGCGCGTTCCGGGAAGATGCTCCCGGAACGCGCTGAAAAGATATGGCCACATCTCGGGGACGCTCCCGGCACCGCTCCCCCAGCCTTTCCGGGCAGCCTCCACAGCTCTCCAGGAGGGCCCAAGACGCCCCCCAGGAGCCCCCAGAATGTGAAAGGATGGCCCAAGACGCTCCCGAGCAGCCCAAGTCAGCCTTCGGACGGCTCTCGAGGCTCCTGGGTGGCCTCCAAGAGACCTCAAGAAGTCTGATAGGTGGTATCACGGTACGGCCCGAAGAGGCCAAAGTCGTATATGTCCAATGGTTTTTTCAATGTTTTTGGCTTCTCGCGTTTTCGAGCTTCCAACGGTCCAAGAGCGCCGAAGAGCCTCCCAAGACCGCCTCAAGACCACCCAATATACCCTCAGGACGGCCCCAAGATGGGCCAAGAAGACTCCAAGACTGCCGAAGAGGCGCCCAGCACAGCCCCACCCCAGACCACCCCAGAACAGGCCCAAGATGGGCCCAAGAGCGGGAGCAGGAGACTTCCAGAGACCTCCGAGAGGCCTCCGGGACCCCCCAGAGGCCCCCAACACACCCCCGTCCTTGAGAGGCCCCAAAGAGACCCCGACGAGGCTCCAAGAACAGCCCAAGAGAGCTGCGAGAGCCGTCCCGAGAGAGCCCAAAGAGGGTAACATCGTTGATTCCCAATGGTTTTTCCTATGTTTTTCGCCTTCTCACGTTTTCCCGCTTCCAGCCCTCAAAGATCGAGGATTTGGGACCAAGGAGATGGAATTCCAATATTTTTTTCACCATCCCCTGACATATCCCCTGACATCTGGCCGGTACCGCGCCTCCCGGCTTCATCCGCAGAGCGAGTTTGCAGTGCGCTTGGACCATTTTGGGACGTTTCTTTGAAACTGTGTTCGAGCGTCTTCTGGGCCTCATGGGGGCCTCTTGGAACCCTCTGGGTGCCTTTTGCTGGACTCTGGAGCCCTCCTGGGAACATCTTCGAGCGAAAACCTACGGTTTTCCGTCCGTGACCTGTGTCCCCATTGGGGGCCTGGGGTGTTCCGGGGGTTCTGCTGGGGCGCCGGGGGCGGCGTAAGATCGCCCGGATACGGCCTCCGGATCGCCAAACATGGCGCTTCCAGACCGCGGGAACGACCAATGGCGGCCAAGACGGCCAAGGCGGCCAGAATTAGCCCTTGACTATCCAAGAGGCCTCCAAGACGCCCCCAGGAACCTCCAAGATGCCTCCAAAGGAGCCCCGGGAGGCACAACTTATTGATTATCCAAAAGGTTTTTGAAGGATTTCCATGTTCTCGCCTTTTCAATTTTCCGACGCTCCGCAACGGCC